TTAACAATGTGGTTGCAGTGGTTCAGTTTCTGTTATCACTTTCAACCATGCAGTATAATTCAATAAGAGTATAAGAATCTGTATGTTACTTTATATTTCATTGTAAAGGGTTCACACGTGTTTCTTTTTTACATTAAGCTTTATTTTCACTTCTAGCATTAAGTGAAACCTATAAAGCAAAAATTTAAAGTTGCCTAATTTTGACCAATTTTCTGTATAACCTTTTTTCAGTCTTTCCTGTCACTGAGGAGCGATTTTGAACCACTCTTCTTTATAATCCTGCATAAGTTCATTGAGGTTTGCGAGCATTTCTTTATGCACAGCTCTCTTAGGCCTTGGCACAGTGTTTCAGTCAGGCTGATGTCTGGTTGAACCACAAGAACACCTCAATTCTTTGCTTTTTCAGGCATTCTGTTGTGGATTTGTGTGTTTAGGATAATTGTTCAGCTGCATGATGCAGTTTCATGAAAGCTTTCACTATGGCAAAGCAAGCTCAAATAATTACCCCTCCACGACCATGCTTGACAGTTGGTATGGGGGTGTTTGTGCTGATATCCTGTGTTTGGTTTGGTCAAACATCTCCACTTTGATCTCATCTGTTCAAAGGACATTGTTCCAGAGGTCTTGTAATTTACTCTGATGCTGCTTTGCAAAGCTAAGCGGCCCTGTAAATGTTCTTTTTGAGTGAAGAGGTTTTCTCCTGGCAACTCTTCCAAATAAGCCATACTTGTCGTTTTCTATTTTCTTTCTCTAATTGTAGTGTTATGAACATTTGACGTTATAAACATTTAACATGCTAACTGTAAAGCTACCCTACATGTCTGTAGTCCAAATTGTAGCTCCTGGCTTTTTTGCAGTTTCTCTGAGCATTGTATAGGCTGACCTTGGGGTGAGCTTGCTGGGAAGATTGGCAGCTGTCTTTAATGTTTTCCACTGTTGAATAATCTGTCTCACTGTAGAATGACTGACTTCATGTTGTTCGGAAATGGAAATGAGGAGCAGCAATTACTTCTCTAAGATCACTGCTGATGTCTTTCTTCCTTAGCACTGTGTTAACACACACCTGAATGCCCCAGACCAGCAAACTGCAAAAAAACAAAACAACTTTCACAGAGGTAGTCACACCTCATCAGTTAATCAAGTCCATTTTATTAGCAGTATGTGACGCCTACTTATCCTCTTAATTCCTATAGAAAGAGCAAGGGAGTACCTCTTCCTGTGAAAACTACGTGTTTGTCTCTTTGAAAATAAATAAAATGCAGTGCGAGGGACCACAGAGGTATTATCTGAAATTTACACCCTTAACTTTCTCATTCATGAAAACACTTGACTCTTTATAACTGAGTCATTAATATTCTTCAAACAAAGAGCCCACGGATCTGGCTTGTTTAGCAAAGATATATAGACTCATAGCTCAGTGCTCACTGCCAAAATAAAATTGGCATTGGTGACGCAAGGCCATCTACAGAACAATAAACTGCAGATAATAAACTACCCACCGCTCCTGTTTTCTATTCTAAATTCCAGGCATACATCTTGGCATGGAGTAATATGCTAAAGAAAGGAAAGCTGATTATTGTTCCTCTGTGAGGAAATGATTATTCAAAAAAGCCAGAGTGCAATTACTGTTGTATATTTCTGAAAACGTAAAAGGTTTGTCTTTTGAGCACCACCTGGCTCATTTCCTCAGACGTTTGTGGCCTCTCTTCTACAGGAAGTAAGACAACACTGACCTCTAGTGGTAAAACGTTATCACAGCATGCCACTCAGTAGCCCATAAATTCACTGGACGTCAAAAATTAACAAATTTATCTGAATTAATCTTCTAGTCCAAATGATAGCTTTTTTCTGTTGATTCAGACACATATGCTGCCAAATGAAGGAAATGAATGTTAGATGGTGCACGGTGTATAACAATGGCAATGATATTGTAGTTGTTATTTATTACCTTCGCGAGATGAACTCGGAAAATAACGATGTAAACTTACTGAAAAAAGTTAAACATTGCCAGAAGAGCGTGCTAAAGACTCTGGGGGTCAAAAGAAGAAAAAAAAAAAAAAACTGCCCAAATTCTTCTCTTCGTCTGTATCTCAAATCACTAAATACCCCTTAAACCAGTAACTGCTAGCTAGAAAAGTACCGGGTGTATGTAATCTATGATACATGATTAAATAGGAAGTTGACATAGAAACCTGTAAAATAAACTATGACTACACATATAACTGTGTAGAATCAGACTTTAGAGGTCCTTCTGCGAAACTGTCTCAACATATAATAAAGGTTTTAGGTATGATAATGAGAAAATTGAAAATTAAGACTCCTTTCGTGTATGTAGCCTGTTGGTTGCTACCTACCAAACGTTTCTAATTCATGTTAATAAAAAACTGTGTGTCGGGTATATGAAGAAAAATAAATATCATGTTTCCTAATATCAAATGATAAGGGAACTGTTCCCACGACACCTCTCTAGCCAAATAAAAACAGCTCAATGATTAGCTTGATAGTTAGCTATAGTTGTTACCGTTACCGCATAACTCATTTCCAACCATTTTATGGTCGGAAAAGAAGTCGGAAAAGTCTGACATATAAACTTTAATATACTTGTGCCATACTTGTCTATTCAAGCCGTACGGTTAGGTGTCCACACTGTAGACTCCGCCCTGTGACCTTCGTATTTGAGTGGAGCTGGAGAGCTAGTAACTAGCCTGGCAGGCCCCAAGATGGCGCCCTAGTTAGATTTTTCCGGTGCTCCTGATTTAGATTTATTTTCCTCTCTCACAGCACATCAGTTCTGCGGGTAAAATAAATCTCCCTGTCACTGCGCATGTTTTGTTTTGTTTTACCAGGTTCATTTCTTGTTTTTCAGGAAGACATTTACGTGAATTGCCCTTCTAATAATTTTGCTTTACCCACTGCTTACCCAAAGAAGTGATTAGCCTACCTCAGAAAAATTCCTGACAATGTCCGGGTGACTTAAATATATTTAATTTTATTAATATCTTATTTATGTGTCTAAATGTAGATGTTTTCACGTTTAACTGATAATTTGATTTGTCTAATGGCTGAAATGCAGCAAACCAAAAGTAAAGTCTCTTTTTTCCCCTGCATCTTTGCACTAAAAATCACACCACAGCTTTAATAAACGGTATAACTTAAAATCGTTCTTTCAAACACAGAAACGTGGAATGTGCAGTGATCGTGTTTTTGTCCTTTGTGGTCATACGCAGTGTTGAGAATGGGGGGATGGGAATGGGTGCGGGGCAAAGAAAGGCATGTGGTTAGCTGTTTGCAGGTAAACCGGTCTGAATACATTAATGATTGTGGGGCTATCTCCTGTCCTTTCAAACTGCTATCTCCTGTCCTTTCAAAGTGGTAAGGGGAGGGGGAGGGGATAAAGTGTCTTGTACTGGGGGCAGCGGTCAGTTTTCCATGTTTAGTGGGGGAAGGGGTACAGACAGAGGGCCACTGGGCCCCTCTTTGGCTCTTCATGGAATGCAGCTGAGGCTCTCTATAGGCCAACAAACAAACCAAAAGAAACGAACAACAAAAAGGCACTTTTTTTCTCTCCATGAAAAGCACTCATGGGTGTGGTTCAATCCATAAGTCCTTATATGCTCATGTTACAATGATACTTTATTCATCCCAGGGGGGATATTAAAATGTTGCAGACACTCAATTAAAATATAAATATGTAACAAATAAAATGTAAACTCTCTATATTATAGTATATAGTATATATAAAAATATACTGTACATGTGTACAAGATAAACAAGATATTACTTGTGAAAAAAGTCCTGGAGACATGAGCAGGAGTTGTAAAGTCTGACAGACAGGAATGACTTCCTGTGGCACTCTGTGGTGCATCATGGGTCAAAATGGCCTCATGATCATGTATGACACCCCTCAGGCAATACTTACCGTCTTCACAGCAAATAGATAAATCAGAGTGCAGGGGTGGCTGCAAGTGCTGCAGCAGTTTGTGTCATCTAAGCAATTAGCTGTAAAGATAATATGTGACCAGCCTTTCACTTTTTTTTTGTTACACCCAAAAGTAAAGTGTTCCAACAGGAAAGATCAAGTAAGGATCTAACTGCATATTTAATACTTTTGCTTGTTCGCTCCCCTCGCCCTCATCCTGCTGTTTTCTCTCCATCTTTTACCCACGCCCCTTCTTAACTTGTAAAAATTCTGAACTGGTGTGCCGGAGAGAACACTGAGGAGATTATTTATTTAATTTTTTATCATCTGTGGTACAGCTTAAGGGCCACAGAGATTCCATGGTTATTTAAAAAAAATGACAGTATGCCATTAGTCTGTGTGATACCAGGCTGTACATGCTATCGATATGACTGACAGTCACTTTGCAACTGATATAACTACAAGATACTAGATGTGTGCTGCAATGAATGGTGTTAGATAAGATTTCACAGTACATAGTATATAAAAACTCAGATTAATATTTACAGTTAGTTAGTTGATGTTTATAATTCAGGCCCTATTGCATGCAATTATGCTGAATTTTACTGACATTGTATTATTAGTAATATATAATTCCTAACTTAAATAAATTCAAAATGGCTATCTGTGTTATGTTGATTAATTAAGAGGAATAAGAAATGAGCAACATTAAAAACGGATACTCTATAGATATGGAGGGCTAAGTAGTTTGTATGAAGCTGCTTTATGCCATTAACACTACATGTAGTGTATAATTGAAAATTTACATCCCCTAATAATATCTGTGTCTGCTGCTCATATTACCTAAGGGTATTAAAGGAACGTGTAGTTCATTTTCAGGACGCGCCAAACACTTTGATGCGACCTATAAATGGGGAAAACTACATTACCCAGAAGTCCAGTCGACCTGCTACAAGCTGGCTCCCTCCGATCTGGGAGTGCTTCCCATTTAAACAAACACGGTCTTGCCGAAGATGGCGGAGAGTTTCTAGAGGCGTAAAACAAACTGGTGTACTCAATGAAAGCGTCGAAGCCGGTGAGTTTTCTGCAGTTGGTTTATGATTCAGTTATACGCAAGTTTTGAACACTGGCTCTGGTGTTTGTTTGAAAGCACACGGCCGTTACAGAGGCAGTTGGTGTAGCTTCGCTTTCCGAGCAGGCTGTGCTTTTTTACGCTACCGTGATAAAACGAACCACCTTACCAGTGTCTGTTTATTATGGGATATTTGCTGTAATATTATTAGCTCCTAACCTATAAGTGGTATCACAATGAACCTCGAGCTTGGCTTGATAACTATCCATTCTTGTTGGTTTTTGTATTTTTTGGCGTTTCCTTTATCCACTAGCTACAAAGTTTACGAGACCAAGGCTCTGATTCGCTGGGGTGCAATACCCTAGCTGTTAACACTCAGCTCTGCTCACGAGTGAACTCTTTTGTGTTTGGAAACGTTTACGTGAAGTTTGTGCCGCCGTTAGCATGTGTTCATTGTCAACACACACAGCTGAATTGCTTTGGAGACTATATTTTCTACCTGACAGCCCGCCTTGCTTTACAGTTTCGGTTCATATGCTGCTGGAGTCGTCTGTGTTCACAGCTAATGTGTGACGGTACACCGCGGAAGTTTTCATTAGTGGGGAAATCTAAATAACAATATTGAATGACCTTCTGGACTAGTGACTAGCTTCCACGGTGAATGTGGTGGAGATTAGCACTCTTAATTACAGTGTATCTTCTTGGGTTTTGTTAAACAGAGCTCCCTCCTTATACTTTGACACAGAGACTTGGAGCATCTAAGTAACACCCATTAAAAAAAAGTGTAGGAAAAATGACAAAATGTTTTTTCATTTTAAAATGGGACGGGTTTTCTCTAAGTGGTTGTTACATTAGTAAAGTTTGCCAGCTGCAGGGTCGTGGGCAACCACGCAGTATTTTCCAGTAGCCTACACTATGCTGCTCGCAACCCAACTTGAACTGACTGGCTCAGCGTGGCTGCTCTGAACAATCCCCAGCATGTGGTATTTATTTGCATGACTGTAGCGAAATAGCGCTCGCGTGATTGTAGTGGTTGGTATAACTGGGACTATCTCTCTACGTGATTAAATGTTGGCGTTCACTGCTGGTAAATCACATGTAGGTGCATACGTGAGCGTGAGAGACAGACGGACTGGTTGTGGAGGCAGATGGATGTGTTTCAGTGCAGAGGATGATAAACACTCGCAGGGTTCCGGTTTGGGTTCGCCTCCCTGTGCTTGTGCTTGACAAGGTGTATGCCGAGCACTCGGGTTTTTTTTTTTTTTTTTTTTTTTTTTAGGTTGTAAGAGGAAATTCTTGGAGAGCGTGCTCAAGTGTAGGCAACAGTGAGGGGGTAGGTTAGTCATTTCTCTGAAATGCTTGAGGACTAGGTGTGCTGTCGCTCTGTTTGCCCGGGGCCATCCCTGCCGATACTTGCAGGCATTTACATCTCAATGCAAGAGTTTCTGGGATCATTCAGGTATATATATATATATATATTTTTTTCTTTCTTTCTTTTTTGTTGTTGTTGTCTACTGTGGAGTTTTCTCACTTTCAGCGATTTCACACATGGGATTAAGTAGACTGTGATATCTCAGTAATGTGGACATTAGATGGTTGGTAGCTGGGAAAGAATGAGTGAGGATGGTTCTACTAGCAGTCTTTAGCTGTCAGGTGGGCTAACTTGTCTCATAGAATGCCATTACTCAAGTCCATGTATGTGGTATTTTTCTAAGTGGGCAGAATGACCACTGTGGGAACCTGTCCAATGAGCTACTTCTGCTCATATTCTTGGCAAACGGAGCCCCCTGTTTCCCCCCATTCTCTGTCCCTTTATCTACCAGTCTCTTTCTCCCTCACACAGGGTGTCAGGCTGTGTTAACAATGAATCAATCTTTGGGGGGATTCTTTGACTGCAGATGGGGTGCAGAAGTGACTGCATTGCATGGCTTTCGCTCTTTGTCTGTTGGCCCCCGCATGGGCTCTCAATAATTCATTAACTTATCACTTTTTCTCATGGGCATGGGAGAAGGCTAATCGGTCACATGTCCCATGGATTCAGCACCCTAACGCTCACCCTATTAAAATGAGCATAACATTTGGAGGCATTGCTGATATTTGGGTCATTCTTATAGAGGTTACTTGTGAAACAAAGTATTGTATCCTGTCCCTAAAATAATAAAAATGTGAATTTCTGAGGAGTGGCTATGGCGGCTATGGCTACAAACTTATTTAGTGACATGAGTAAATTGGGGAACACATGAGTGCCTGCTTCCTGCTTGATGCCTGAAATATATTGACCACAACAAGTTCAAACTGCAATTCTCGGGGTAAGCACAGCGCATTCAAAACAAACGTATTTATGAATGAAATGGTTAAAAACCTAATTTTTAAATAATATCAAAAAGTGCAGGATTTTAAAAATATTTTTACTGCTTTCACCTCGTTATGCAATGCTGCATTTTGCATAGGACTGCCATATTTGAGTTGTCTAAGACTTCTAAATACAGTGGTGGTGAGCTTGCAACTCTCTGATGACTGCCTAATCTGTCTTTGTTGAGCGGCATTTTTGTGTCATTAATGTCTGAATAGATGGCATTCTTTGACTGTTTCGTCAGTCTCCCTGCCTTAAGAGAGACAGAGATAATAAGCTTAGTTTCGAGAAACTGCCAATCGGTCATGTGGTATGTGTTTATTTTATGATTAATAGTTGTGTGGATGAGCAGTAGCTTTGAGAGTACTCTTGATGACACAGAGCTGAAAGAACAGCCTGATTGTTTCCCCTAATTGAAATATGACTCCTTGGTCTTCTTACAGCTGTATGGGGAGTGCAGGGTTAGTCAAGGAAAGCGGTTGTTCCTTCATATGTAACTTGTAACCAGTTCTTATCATTTAGAGAAAAGGAGGATCTTTATATTTTTAGCAACTGTTTTTGTATTTGACGTTATCTTTACCCAGGTCTGTTTTCAAGTCAAGTTTGAGTATTTGTTTCCCTCACTTTGACTGGTCGTTCAAGGCTGTTTTACAACCAAGTTTAAGAATTCAGAAGCTTCCTGCGGTCAGCTCAAGCTGTGCATAACATCCTGTTTAATTCCCACATCTCAAGGTCACTCATGCAGTGACAGTGATCTGGATTTGTTTGTTAAAAGGGCACATACACACTGGCAGAACTCAACAGGTAGGTTTGCTTTTTCTGCCTACCTCTGTAGAGCTAAATATAGAAATCTGTTAAACAAGACAGTCATGTTTCCACTGCTGAAATATTTAGTTACTTTGCTCAAACAAGTGAGAGCGAGAGTATGAAATGAGAGCTGCCGAAACCAGATCAACCAGGGAAGGCCAGATCGCCACCTCACTGAGACCCAAGTCAAATGGTGCAGTTTGCACTTTCGTTCTGTTTGAAGTCACATGTCATTCATGCCCTCGTTGTCCTCTTCTTCATCTCTGAGGTAAGACCCAAGTGTTAGGTTAGCTGAGCCATATGTGAGCCATGCACACTTCTAAAAGCCATACAGGCAGCCTGAAGCAATCATTGCGCCCAATTCTAGTTTATAACCAGCGTGGATTTGGAACAGCTCTCGCTCTAGTCCTCATTGATTGGATGGAGGATAGAGTTTATTAGGGAAGGGTGTGCCAAGAGCTTTGTCCCCCTCCCCTCCTTGCCCTTCCTCTTTAACTTCAACTCCCCCTTTAACTTTCGCTCCCCGAGCTCAAGAATGCTCGTAAAAAGAGTTCACCTGAACAAGCCAGTGGGAGGGTAGGACCCTGCTCTAGTTTTGTTACTATTGTAAAAAGTTAGCAAGACGTTGTTTGTGTTTTGTTTAGGGCCCCCTTTTATAAAACTGCTCTGGGGAGAAGCGGCACGGGTGAAAAAAAGTTTGGTTTGTGAGATAACTGCTACCAGATGCTCTCTCTGTCTTTTATTCAGCATAAGAAGAATTAGAAAGAAAGGCTGCAGAAGAGAAGAGAATAGGAGAGTGTCATTTCTGAATGAACTTTAAATGAACTATCCATGCAACAGTTGTTGCATGGATACTCTCCATCTTAATTCAGTCCTCACTTTTCTTTTCCCATCAGTACCCCTCCCCCCTTTTATTAAAGAGAAAATCATTTTAAAAAGTGGTACAACTTCTACACATAGTGACCATTAGACCCATAAAGGCTCCAATGTAACTTTTTTTTTGAGAAATCTATTCTGTGTAAATATGTGTTATGTTTATGTCATTAGTGAGAGTCTCAGGAATAGCTCCAATTTGGGTCAAATGCTTGAGTGTTGTGGAATTGGTTTGCTATCAAAACAACAAAGGGCTTTGTTCTCTGCAGAGTTTTCAAGGTTCTCTGTCCTAACTTTTCACAAAGCTTGTCTTTACTGGCTTTAATATTAGTAGTTTAGTGTTTTGTTTTTTGTTTTTTTGTTGTTGTTTTTTTAGTTTTATAGTTGTTTTTGTTGTTGTTGTTGTTGTTGTTGTTGTTGGTTTTTTAAAGATTGTTTTGTGTACACATCGAAAATGAAACAGTTTTATGTTGACTTTCTGTGGCAGTGGGTTGTGGTTTCTAGGAGGGCTGGGGAGTGTCTACAAGTTATGTCAGCGTTTCCCCACACAAACACTTTACTCAAGTGGGCTGCCCAGGTGTATTTGGTGAAAACAGGTGACTAAATTTATTTTCTTTCTCTGAGAAAATGATGGCATCTTTGATTGGACAATCCTCTCATTCTTATTTAGAGTTCAGTTGCTGCTAACCACCTAGCACCGGGCCCTTCCTTCCTCCTTGTGTTTTCACCTTACAGTGGCAGCTAGCAGGTGTCCTGCCTTCTCCACACACACCTTAACTGCAGTCTATATGATAAAGGGCAGCTTTAGAGAAGGTCTCCACCTAATTCTCCTGACATTTTCAGGAGTTCATAGCCTTGGTCACATTAGTCATCGCTCGCCTGAACTGTAGTGTCAACACGGCCCCATAACAATTTATACTCACACTTGAGGCATGCTTCAATCGCTATAGTCATATCCTGAATGATATGTGTCCCAAATCACTGCTGAAATGGGAATACAGGGAGTTCAGACAGGAAACGGAGTGACTGCTGAGATTTTTTTTTTCCAGATTTATATGTGAAACATTGTTTCAAATTTTTTGTGCTAGTCTCCAAATGCACATCCCTGTACTACTCATTGAAATATCATAGAAATGCCCGAGGAGACACACTCGTGCTACCAGCCTAGCTGTGTTGCACTTGGTTGCAAAAGTCTGTAGTCAACACAGTCAGTGAGTATAAGCTGTTTGTGTGTGAAAACAGGCTTGAGACAGTATTTGTCCATTTGTCCTCTGGCATAAGTGAACAGAACAGTCATTTTACATGGAAATTGCTTCTAAAGCATACGGTAACATGTTAATTAAGGTGCTAGTAGACAGCTACTCGTGTGTTCTTTAATGTAAAACAACTGATTGTGGTGCCCCCACAATATCCTGACTAATTAAATTGAGTTCCTTGCTATTTTTTAATGTGTTTTATTTTAAGGTTAGCATTTTTTTTTAGGTGGCTAAAAGACATTTTGTTTCTGTTTGTACATTGCTCACCTTCAGTGTCAATTCCCCTGTCTACTTGGTGGTATACCATTGGTCACTGACTTAAAACACACTGGCAATGAATAAGTACCTCAGACAAACCCACTTCAAAGAAGCCAAATGATCTCTAAACTGAGTAAAATCAGTTTACCCAGTGAAACTGGCATTTTTTTTAGCATCAAAATTAAACATTTACTGTAAATTGACAATCACTCCTTTTGCACTTTACTTTTTTCAGTGTGTTTTAATAAAAATGTGTCTTCAGCTTACACCAATTTAACATTCAGTTTGCTTTGATTGTATTAATAAAAAAAACAATGTGTGAGAGAGATTTTCTATTACCACAGAGTCTAAAAACACCGAGAGATGGTTTTTGGTTCATATTGCCCAGCCCTAGTTTCTAGGTCTGTCTGAACTGGGAACCAGCTGTTGGCATGCATGGCACTGCAGTCCCAAGTTGTAAGAGGATATCTGACCATGCAAGCAGGGACTGTACGGGTACTGTCTCTGTAGTTCATCTGAAATTCAAAATCTTCTTTCATTTAGTAAATTAGCACAGATTGCAATGAGTGTGTGCATTTTTTTTTGCACACAGCACTGAGCTTAACACTTTTTTTTTTTTTCATTTTTCCATTGGCCTGTAATAAATGTTATTTTATTATAGCCCTGAGTTCAAAGAAAAGTCATGAATGACTTACTTCCACGCCATCGTTAAAGGCTCCAGACTTACTACAGCATGTCAACACTGGCAAGGCATGTGTCAGATAATTTACTACACTTGTTTCTTATATGTGCTCTTTCCCTTTTTTTTTCTTTTTTTTTTTTTTTTTTCCCTCCCCTCTTCTCCTCACGGGAAGAGAAAAGTGTTCTTTTCACTATTACTGTTCTTTTCTGCCTACTGACGTCAGTCCTGTT